AGGTGTGTTGTGGCCACACCCCTGGGAGCACTCAGCCTAGGAAGCTTCTGAAGTTTATTCTCCTCTTCCCTGCCCAGGTCTGGCCATGAGGATCTTGTGGATCAGATTATACCCACTGAAAATTGCTCAGCTATGTTTCAATGATCTTATTTCATGTAGCCAACCTGTCACCCTCAGGGGCTGGCACAGGGACTGTGGCTTCAGAACGACAGCAGTAAAGAGGCCTTTGTCTCCCAGGCCACTCTGCACAATCAGGGAATTGAGGTCACGGCATCAGCAACAATTTATGAGGATGGCTGTAACTGTGCTCATGGCTGCCAGAAACCTAAAAGTTGTAAGAGAGGAATTTAATAGGAAAGGGGCTCCACCTCCTGGTAATAGTCAAACCCAACATTTTCACAGCACTTTACAGTTTATAAACGTAGGTCAGTGTTACAGCTGTCATTTAGCCTACTTCTTGACCTGGTAGAGATAACCAGACATAAACCCCCCTTTTTTAAAAATTTAGCTTCCACTTATAGGTCATACATTTTAGACCATGCTAACAATAACACAATAAAAATATGAATGAATGCATGGATATATAGATACCATCTTATATAATCCCTTCTAGTTAGAGACCTTATCATCCACTTCGGCATTACTGAGCCACATTACAGTTGTACCTGAATAGATAAACAGCCTGACTCTTTGTTATTTTTGAGTGGCCCCAAACTCAGAATCCTCTGATGGCTCTCTGAACTGTGCTCTCAAGCCAGGCTTCACTCAGACTTGTATACAAACAGTATCTCCAGCATCAACTGAGGAAGTCAAATCTGGGAGCCACCCTTATCTCATTAGAGAATCATGCCCTTTGATCCCTAGGTCTATACTATCAAACACATACACACACAATATCAAGCAGACTTCTCAATTATTCTATTTTCAATGAGAATAGCACACCACTTTCAGCAGTTTGATATGTTTAACAAGCTCATCACATCTATTCACTATCTTGGGTAGAGGGAAAAGTGAGGTCCTAAGAGATTAAGGTCATATGCCCAGGTCACAAGAGAAACACATGGCTCAGTGAACTTGTTTACATTATTACAGTCGCTTTTTGGTGCAAGGTTAAGTAAAAAGTCATTAGCCCAGATTCTATCCATATTGTAAAAGTCATTCCTATAATCCATGTGTAAAAGAGCCAGACCCGGACCATATGCTCTGGATCCAATGCTGAGTAGAGTGACTAGGAAGCAAGAAGGGCTTGGTGCAGATTCCTCTGGTCTGACGCAAATAACAGGGGTTATCACATTAATAAAGTTTGGAAGAACTGAGAAGAAAACAATCCTGGTGCCAAAGAGGGAATCCCAGGAGAATGTGAGCAAGCCTTCTGGAAGGCTCCAAAGAATATTTCATACAAGGGGTGTGAGGTGGAGCTGGGCTTCTAAACATGAACACGAGTTTGATGGGCAGCAAAGAGAGATATGTGTTCCAGGCACATAAGCTTCTACAAAGTAAAAGAATATCAGACTGAGGGGACAGTGGGCAAAGAGACCGAGAAGAGGCAAATAAAGAGGCCAGGAGCTGGGTGTGGTGGCACACACTGTGATCCCAGCATTCAGGAAGCTGAGGCAGGAGGATCTCAAGTCCCAGGACAACCTGGGCTACAAAACAAGAATCTGACTCAAAAAAAAAGTGAGGCTGAAAAGATGGCTCAGTGGTAAGATGCTTGACCTGCAAACAGAAGGACCTGAGTTCGAGCCTCAGAACCCGCTTTTTAAAAAAATACAAATTTAATTTTTTTTTAAAGCCAGGCAAGGTGATACACATTTGTAATCCCAGTGCTGAGGAGGTGGAGACAGGGGCTTGCTGCAGCCTAGTCTACATTGTAGAGATTGTCCTCTGGTCTCCACAGACATTTCCACATATGTGCTTGCACACCCAGACATACACACACAAGCTCAAAAATCTACTTCCTCTCTCTACATACAATGACTCTATTCAGGGTACTCTATGCCTCATGGATTAGACAAGGGGGTCAAGGAGCATCTCTAGTCTTGGTGGACCTAGAAACATGTTTGCACACCAGATGCAGCATATCTCTATCCCTAGCCTCAGGTCCACTGACCCTGCAGGACTCAGAAATTCTTAAATTCAACTACAAAGTATCAGCAGTTTCATTTTCTCTTTGCTTGTGGTGCTTGCATTCTCCCCCCTCATCCTATTCACCAAAGACCCATATTCCAAGGCCTCCTCCAGGCTCTGGACCCATCCTCCACCTAAAACGAAGGAAAGCGTTTAGATATTACTTCCCTGACCCAAATAGCACAGCAATTCCAAGCTCATAGTGCACCTATATAGCACACATTTGAAGACTTCCTGAAGTAGATAGTCTGTGATTTGCCACAGTGGAACTAGCAATGGGGTGGCCAACTCATGGTACACTTGCAGCCTTTACTTGGGAGCATGAGAAAATTAGCCTGAGCTGCTCAGTTTCTCTGTAGGTTGGCCACATCGAGATGGGATTGAATCTGTCAGGTGTCTGTTTTCCCTGTGATGAATAGCCTCTTGGTTTCTATCTCTGTCTGGAAGATCCAGATCCCCAACTAGAGTGGCAGATCCACCTGGGGAAGTGTCATTTGACAGAGGGAGAGAGATCAACCCACAGCTTCCTGGAGATGTTCTTTGAAACAACAGTCAAACTCTGTGGCCCTGCGGTTTAAGGTACCAGCCCCTGCCTCAAATAAGCCACATGGGTGGCTGTTCCTTCCTTTCCCTCCCCTTCTCCAGCACACACAACTTTCTTAACCTGATCCACTCCAGGTGGGACAGAGAGGACAAAGCTGTGGTCTAAGGATCAGAGCCCATCTCCTCTCTGCCAAGTTTATCCTGAGGCGTCAGGCAAAACCCTAGCCCCTGTTTTCCCACCTACAGAACAGGAAGGCCACTCCCCCAGGGTTGGTAGTCTTGTATTTTAGTGGAATGCACCTGTTCTGGAGGCTGGAAAGACCAGGTGACCCATACCTGCCCCAACTCTCTGGACCCAGAGGAGCGCCAATTACTTTGTAAATGACCCCGGGCGGTGCACAGTAGTTACCAAACCTAGTGCTGTAGTGTGACACCAACATGGTTGTGGCCTCAAGCCACAATAAATCCGGAAGCGCGTCGCCTTGATGTGTTCATCTACAAAATGAGAACGTCACCAGTTCTTCCCTCCAGGGCTCTATGAAGGAACTCATGGCCCAGTGCATCTAAAGAACTGGCTGCAACTACTAGGTGCCCAAGTAACGTTAGTTGTTCTAGTTGCCGGAGGATGGGGGCGATCGTTAATTTAAGGGCAGAGGCTCTATAACAGCAGCCCAAAATCGCTTTCCTCGCCTCCAGGAGAGGCGGCGCCGGCGCTTGGGGCGCTGCGTGGTGACATGCGTTTCTCTTCTCGTGTTTATCCCTCGAGGCTTCCTTTCGGCGTCTTCTTCCTCAGCAGCTGCTCTGTCAGCGGTCCATCTGCCGCCTCGCTGCGGAGCAGCTACGGAGACGCGGCTGCCAGCCCCGCAGAACTTTGCTGCTGAGTTCAGGGCGCCCGACGCTGGCGGCCATCACCCCACGTGCAACCAACCAGTCTGCGGCTCCTTCCTGATAGCACCGCCTGCGCCCCAGCCCTGCGGCCCAAGTTCCAGCCCAGCACCCCTCAACCCAGCCCAGTACCCGGTGCTCCAGTCCTGCACATCTCAATCCACCCGTCCCCCTCAATCCAGTCCAGCACCCCATGCTCCAGCCCGCCCCCGCCCCCAACTCGAGCCCTGCACCCTTCAACCTAGCCCCGCATGCCGCGCTCCAGCCCTATACCTTCAATCCAGGCTAGCACCGCTTAATCGAGCCCTGTACCTCTTGCTTCCATTATGCATGAAAGCTCTCGCCCTGCCCTAGAGTCGCGCAGGGCTCCAACCTGCGTCTCTTGCTCCAACCCTGCACCCCTCGCTACCAGCATCGCACCCCGAACTTCAGCCCTGGATCCCATCCAGTACAGAGCTCTGCAACAGGAGAACTACCCCGGCACCCCGCCTTCCCCAAGTACAAGTGGGCAGTGGGGCAGGCGGCCAGGCCTGGTTCCGGGGAGTGGGGCGGTGCATGTGGCGAGGAGGCCAGCTGGAGGAACAGGAGGGGACAGATGCCATGAAGGCCCGGATTTGTTCCTGCAGGAAGAATTTGAGGAGCTAATTGTCTCATTATCCAAGAGCGATTTCTCCATGGCCCTGCCACACCATGTGGAAAGATATCCTGGTGTGTGCGTGTGCAGCAGTGGGTGGAAGGGAAGGAAGGGGAAGCTGGCCTGGTTTCTTCCAGGCCTGTGCTGCAGAGCAACTTCGAGCTCCCAAACCTGGCAAAGAACTACTTTATTCAACCATAGCTTCACATCCCTTCCATCCAGTACCTCCCTATTCCCCTACACAGCCTCAGCATCAACACACACACACACACACACACACACACAACCTCTTAGACCTTATTGCCATTGCCATTTACTCTGAACCTGATCTAGTTTCCAAACAATCTTTAAAACCATGAAGGTGCTTAGGTCCTGCCCTGTTCTCCCCGGTTCTCCATGCTTTTTTGTGCCTTGGTCCTCAGCCCACTTCTGCTCCCTGGTTTGTGCCATGCTGCACCCTCCTGCTGGGTACCCTCTGTGCTCAGCCTTCCTGCATCCACCCCATCACTTTTCCACACCCGCTTTCAGGGACCCGTTCAAAATCCCCAGCTTTTAGTATATGTTTTTCCTGCCTGGTGTGAAAAGGAAGGTAAAACGAACCAGCTCTGTATGGCACCTTGACACTCACAGGCGTTTTCCCCCTACACTCTGACATCATAAGTGACAGCCTTGCCAAGTGGGCAGGATGACCCCTGACCTCCCTCTCACCCCGTGCACTCAACTGGTAGATGGAAAGATTATTTACAACCCATTTGTACACTCTGTCTGAACTGGGAGAGCTCTCGAGTACAGGAGACCAGACTGTACTTACCAGGTCAGGTCAGCCCTTGCTGAGGTTATCATGGAGCCTGGCCAGTTGACTGCTACAGGGCTCAACCTTTCCAGCCTCCTACCACCTCTTTCCTCTGACCTCGTGTCCTCATGTTCAGTGTGCATCTGAGTGTGTACATAGGAGCCGCACATGGCTGAGAGAGAGAGAGAGAGAGAGAGAGAGAGAGAGGGAGAGAGAGAGAGAGAGAAAGCTGAAGTCACTGATGTGTTTAACCAAATAGCAAATTGCTTTCCTCACTTAACAATTTTTTTAATTTATTTTTATTTTATGTGTATGAGTGTATTGCCTGCATGTCTGTAAGTACACCCATGTCCTGCAGTGCCATTGGAGGTCACAAGAGGATGTGAGATCCCCTAGAACTGGAGTTATGGACCATTGTTAGCTGCCATGTGAGTGCTGGGATTTGACCCCAGGTCCTCTGCAAGAGCAGCTGGTGCTCTTAACAGCTGAGCCATTTCTGCAGATCCTCAACAATATTTAATTTTTTTAAAGCTGAGCATGGTGGTGCACACCTTCAGAAGGCAGAGGCAGGCAGATCTCTGTGAGACCAAGGCAGCCTGGTCTACGTAGTGAGTTCCAAGCCAGCTGGGGCTACAGGGAGACCCTATCTCAAAAAATAATTGTTTACATTTATTTTATGTATGTATATGAGGCTGCACAAGTGCCATGGTGTGCATGTGGAGGTCAGAAGACAGTTTGCCACAGACGGGTATCTCATTCCACCATGTGAGTTCCAAGCATCAAACTAACTCAGGCTTTGCAGCAAGTGCCTTTATCCAATGAGCTGTCTCACCAGTCCTCACTTATCAGTGCTGTGACCACCTTACAGTGCAAGATAGCTTCTCACTTCTAGCTTCACATTTGTATTCCAGGAAGAAGGGGGATAGGCGGAAGTGGGGGAGGAGGAGGAAGAGGAGGAGGATGGTGGGGGAAGGGTAGAAAAGGTAGTATATCTTTCAGGAAAACAAAATTTTCCCTATAACACCAACAAAGTTCCCATTTACATTGGCCATACTGTATCATTTGACTCACAGCTGGAAAGGAGACTGGGAAATGTAGTTGTTTCCTTGGGCACAACACTACTCTAAACAATGCCAAGGTATTATTGATAAGAAAAAAGACAATGAGACAGATGTGTGATTGTTCCTCAAGGTTTTCCTCCCTCATAGGCTCCAGGAGGATAACCACCTTTACATGTTCACAATTGTGTCCCCAGGGTCAATCCCAGTGCCTGCCACACAGTGGGTACTCTGTGAGCATGCATTAAGTAAGGGAATGAGTAGAGGAAGGTGTGAGTGAGTGAATTCTAAAGTCATCACTATTAATGAATGTTCAGCTCTATCAGGCATGTCAAACTTTTTAAAAAAATATTTATTTCATATTCAGTCATGTGTACGCCTGTGTGTCTGTGTGTGGGTCTGCACAGGTATGTGCAAGGAGGTCGGATCCTCTGGAGCTGGAGTTCCAGGAAGTTGGGGGCTGCCTGAGGTTGATGCTAGAAACTGAACTCAGGTCATCTGGAAGAGCAGGAAGTGCTCATAACAGCTGAGCCATCGCCCCAGCATGTCCAACTTTTGGATATCATGTTGTCATCTTCAAAGTTCATGAGTGAGAACTGTACAATTGAGTTGCACTTTTCAAAAAGTCTCAATGTTTTTAAGTACAATTATGATTTTTGTACTGGGTCACATTCATAACTATCCTTGACCAACTGTGCCTGTGCAGCTTGGACACACCCGTATGGACTCAAATGCAAGACACTTGAAATTCTCTATCAGCTTTAATATATACCAGTAAATGACGGAGCTCAAAGATCTCTGTACCTCCAGCCTCTCTGTTTGATACTTGGCTAATTCCTAACACACACTATCAGGTTGAAATAAGTCAGATCTACATCATTTTTTCTGGGTTATCTGAGACATGGCCTCCATAATTCCATTCTTAAATACCTGATTATGAAGCACAAGATTTAAAAAAGCATCTAGTGTTGACACTACCATCCGTAATTATACGAGCTCAAGTGCATCCTCACATGGCAACTGACTGGAACGCAAATTTTAAGGCAGGTATTTATTGCTACATATAAACCATTTTTGAAGAAAATGTATTTCTTTTAATAGAAAAGACATCTATGTAGATTTTTTTAAAATCCCATCTTCACAAATGCTATAAATGTGATAAATGAATAGAGGCATGAAAATTAGTCAGAAATATTCTCTTAGATGAATAGGTTTTAAAATCATTAAAGTTGGATTATTTTTCTTACTGAAGAAAATAGGACTTTCAGATCAGATCAAGATACCCTTAAAAGGGGTAGCATTTTAATTAAACTGCTTTTAAAACTAGCCGGCTTTTGTTTAAGCTGAATCTCCGAGAGGAATTGCTTCTGTAGGCTTTGGGGACCAGGACAGCTGCAGGGGGTTCCAGAAGACAAAGGTGGAAACAGGGGTGTTGGGTTGATGTCTTGCCTCCCTCTAGATGGTGGTCAGGTCTAGGTCTTCTCTGCATCCCTAGGAATGCCAACAAGTGTCCACTTGTCGCATTAACTGAAGCACCAGTAGCACATCATTACGACACAAGTGAAATTCCCCCGAAAGAAGCATTAACTCTTCAAGAGATGCTTATGTTTTGAACTTATTCCTGGTCCTCCTCTTCCCCCTCCTCCTCCTCGTCCTGTGCCTGCTCCTCCTACTCCTCCTCCTGCTCCTCCTTTTCCTCCTCCTGCTCTTTCTTTTCTCCTTTTCTTCCTCCTCTTTCTCTTCCTCTTCCTTCTTCCCCCAGGCTGGCCTCATATTCCATGTGTAGCTAAGGATGACCTTGAACTCGTAGTCATCCTGCCTCTACCTCCCAAGTGCTGGAGTTATGAGCTTATTCCACTCCCAGCACCGCACCTGGTTTCTGTGATGCTGGGAGTGGAATCCAGGATCTCATAGATGCTGGGCAAGCATTCTACTAACCAAGCTATATCACTAGCCCCCTGCACTAAAACATGTTGGCACACACCCATAATCTCAGGACTTGAGAGGGTCACAAGTTCAAGGCTAGCCTAGGCTACAAAGTAAGACCTTGTCTCAAAAACAAAACAAAACAAAAAAAGCAATAAAAATAACCACTGTGTCCCTTTTCAATGTGGTTGTAAGAATCACAGAGGAAGAATGGGAAGTGAACCAACCAGAGCCATCCTCTGTTTGTTTCTTTTTGTTTTTGTAGCCAGAGCAACTACAGCCTACTCCCGTTACATGTTAACCGCAGGTGAAAGCCAGGTGTAGACGAGGCACTGACACACTGTCAGCAAGAAGGATTTTCAGGATCTGTAATGGTTTCCATGGGAGCATCCTGGTGGGATGGTTTGGATGGAGGACTGTGAATTTTCAGCACAAAAGTGCAATGCCAATTTGATAGTGATGTGTGCAGGCTTATACCCACTCAGGCCTAAAGAAGAAAGTACCTGTTGGCAGAGTGACCGAGGCTAGATGAGGCAATGAGGTGAGGCCCAGGGCTCTGCAATATGAGCTCGGGTCCTGAATCTGCCACCCTCCCACTTCACACTAGTGTGGCTTTGTATTAATGATCTGCAAGCTGCAAACTTGACTTCTCATGTGAAAGATGGAGTCTTGAACTGATCCCAAGGGGCTCCTCTCACTCCAGCCAAGTGACTCAAAGCAGTATCTCAAAGCCTACGCAGTTTAGGAGAGAATGGTTCGGATGGATGCACTCGCCCAAGGCCCACTGCAGCTGCTCCTATCCTGCCCTGGTCAATGCTTGGGTCCTTCAAGGGTTCTCCTCCTCCAACTTAGAAACTTCCAGAGCCCCTGGGAAGAGTCAAGTTAGGAGTCTCTTGGCAGGGCTTCCAGGTCACCCGTGTCTTGATCTGTGAGAAGATGGTTGCCCACCCAGGGCATAGCTGCAGATGTCAAGGTAATGTGTCTCAATCTCAGCAAACGTCTAAGAGCCTGCAAACAGGTGCTGACTCACTCAGTTCCTACTTGGACTGCATTAGTCATTCAAGTGTTGAGGAGTGGTATAAATTCCTGTCATCCTAGTTTATGTGACCACTAAGATTTATTCCCAGAGACAGGTCATTAATGTTTCTTTCCTTTATTTCTTCTTGGATTCCCTGGGAATGCACATTCTTGCTCCACTATTATAGACTGAAAACAGCTATGCTTCGGTCAGGGAGTCCGCAATAAATCTGACTTTAATAAACGACAAAAGATCACCATCCCAGAGACAGTCTGTGCCCCTTTCCTTGTCTCCTTTTATAAAGAGATGCCTTTGGCATAAGCCATAACCATCCAAGTAGTCACCTCCCCTGTAGATCTGTTGCTGATAGGAAGGCAACTGTGTGACTATGGATCATCAGAACCCTGCAGCATTGGTGATGGATGGGGAGGATCCTGATCTCCAGGTTCCAACATTCTCCTGCTGTGTGACCTTGGACATGTGACCGGCTCAGAACCTCAGTTGCTTCATCTATACAGAGAAGTCCTAATTCTTGACCTGTGCACTTCCTGGGGTGGGTAAGGTTTGGATAAGGGTGGGTAAGAATCAAAGTGTGTGCCCCTAGGGAGGGCTAGGAATGCTTTATTACTGTTGGGCTTTTAGCAAGGAAACACAGGGAAGCATTTTGAAATTTTTTCCCTTTACAGGAGAAACCTGTAAGCAAGTATCAAATGGGCATCTACCCTTCCCCATGTCCCTCCAATTAAGTCACACTGCTCCCCAAAACCTCACCTGCTCAACCTTGGAAAAGTCTTGGGAGGGGAGGTTCCATGAAGTTTCCTGGAGACCATCATCCCACCACAGGTAGCTTGGCTAAGGAGGCTCTGATAACTTTCTGACTGGGATTAGCCTGATGGTCACATCTTTGTACATTATCCAGCTATAAGAACCTTGAAGGTAGCTGTTAAATGGAGCAGGCATTGAGGAATGATTATCTAAGTGAGTTCCAAATTAATCCAAGGGATTAACATCTGGCTAAACTCCAAACAGCCTTCTGAGTGGTTGGGAGGCATCTACCCTACAATCCTGGCATTTCTTCTAGAAGCAAGACTATTCTGAAAGATAGATGCCCATCCCCTTCCTTCCAGGAATTCACTCTGAGAACCTCAACACCTCCACTTCCCAAAACTG